GAAAGGAACAGCCGCTGTTTTGACGACAAGGCTAGAACAAAAGAGCAGTTCAGAGAATTATTTTATCTAACCTTGTTTAGTTGGTTTAATACTGTAGCTCCTAATCATGTAGATGGGTTGCCCGATTTCATGTCGTTTATGTGTTGTCTAAACTGATAATACATTCCCCATGTATTATCTTTTGATGAATAAAATTTTCAGATTACTTATCAAAAAAAAAAATAAAGATAACAACCATCCATCACCAAATATTTTATTTGAACTGTCATTACCTATCCATCAAACAGGTTATTGTATTGCATAGAATACTAACATAAGGGATGCTCCATATGTTATCCATAAACTTTAGCTCCCAATCTTAAACAAATTGTTAACCTCTTATAATTTTGGGCTAGTACTTGTCTCTTCTCGAATTACCAAACCCAAACAGTCCTTGAGTCAGAGAAACCAGCAATGCTTCAGTCTGCACATTTGCCACAACCACAAATCTTTCATGAAGGACACATTCCATTCTTTCATAACAATTTGAGGCCAGAATCTTAGAGCACATGTAACCGAGAATTCTACTTGATTTACCCTTCACTATTTGTAACTACTCTGCTACTTTACCTGTGGTGTTTTGAAAGGAACCTGAAGATAACGGGCTTCATATTATAGGATCTAATTGTTATGCATGTTTCTAGGCAATTTAATGGTCTCTTTATAAATAGGTGTTTCAAAGATTTCTTAAAGCATATGCGACAAAGCTTTTCATGAGATTGCCCAAGGGTGGTACAGGAATTGTAGCGGCTGCCACAGGAATGGATGGACAGATAAAGGTAGTACTTTCTTTCCTTTTCTAGATTTTCAGAGGAAAAATTGCCTGTACTCTTTCCTTTTATTGACTTGTGTACTTGCCCATGTACATACTGTTTCATGCAGACATCTGATAAGGATGAACGTGTGATCTGTTATATAGTTAGCACAGCTGAATATTGCCACAAAACGGTGAGTTGGGTTTTTTAATACACTGTATTTGCAACTATAGAATTACATTTGGATTAATATGTGAAGTGGACTGCCATCAAATTGAAGAAATTACAAATAATTAGGTTTACTTCAGTGAAATGTCTGTTCAAGTCAAATCACTGGTAATATTCTGCCGCTCTGTGGTCAGTAAGATTTCTGTGATCAAGGTATACTGGATGATTCACCAAATTTTTTCTTCTACCTTGTATTGTGCTGAGAAACGAAATTCTACTGAGAATCTGTAATAGACTAGATGGCTTCTTAATGAAGTAGGGAGGGAACCATAATTAGAAGGTATCTGAGAATTTGAGTTCTGTTCTCTGTAGACTTTCCCAGGCACCATGAGAACTAATAATATTATTACAGCATGAGTGTATCACAGTAGTACACCACATAATCAATGCACCATCATATCATCAGGACAACATTTTTATGACATCATGTCTTTATCATCAAAACTGTACCACCATCACCTGGGTTCCCTAGTCAAAGTACACAGCATGTGCACTGTAACCGCCTGAATCCAAATACAAATAAAGTCCTGAAACAATATCGGGTAAACGTACTCAATCATGCATAAATGTGAAATATTGTTCACTATCATAAAATACAGAAATGCATGAATTACTCACCAGTATAAGGTGTAAAACATTTGGGCATACAATAGTCTGAATTAGCCCTTAATATGTTAAAGAAGTACTTAAGGTGATTACATTGTATTCAATTTTTTAATCTTCCTCCATCCTTTTTAAGTTCAGACTAACCCTTTTATTTATGTTGTCAGTCCGGCGAACTGGCTGAAAATGTGTCCAAAATAATTGAACCTCAGTTTGTCGATATGATTGATACGTCTGAAGTACAGGTAATTTTTTTTCCATGTTTGTTCATTTATGCTTATCCTCTTGCTCTTGCTTCTACATTTTCTAAACACTGCTTCGTTTGTGCAGGACGAATTCTCAGCAGTTATAACGAAAGCCTTGATCACTTTAGTGAATGGTATAGAGACTAAATTTGATGCTGAAATGGCTGCAATGGCACGAGTACCCTGGGGAACACTTGAAAGTGTCGGTGACCAATCAGAGTAAGATGATCTCTATGAATATGCTATTAAAGGTGGCTGTTATGTCTTTTTATGTAAACCTTGTATACATTCCTGCAGGTACGTCAATTCCATAAACATGATTTTGACTACTAGCATTCCTGTACTTGGAAGCCTTCTTTCTCCAATTTATTTCCAGTTCTTCCTTGACAAGGTGAGTATGTGAAAGGGAACTTATGTTCCGACAATCTTTGCTTTGTGCTGTTGGCCAGTGCCTTAAAATTCTAAATTTTTACTCTGCCTCACTTTATTTCTATTATCCTCAAATTTACATATAGACAAGTGAACATAGAGGTGTCAATCCGGGTGGACCGGGCCGGGTCGGCNGGTCGGCCCACCAACATATGAACCCGGTAATGGCCCGTGTGAAAAAAAGTCCGCCCGCTACGGGTTCTGGGTCGGCCCACAAATTTTAGACTACAACCCAGACCCTCCCGCTAACCCATCCGGGTCGAGCCCATGCGGGTCATAGGTCGCGCAGGTAGCGGTTTGTTCCGATTTGGCCCGTATTATTGTATAAATAAAATTATAAAAATATAGAATTTTTCATATTTATAGCAAAAAATATTTTTTTTGTTAAATGTAAACTAAGAATTGAACAAAATGATAAATTTATATTTATACCAAGAAATGTTTACATAAAATTCAAATTTAATATTACATGAATTAATTATAACTTTGCAAAGTTAAATTTAAGTTAAACAAATAACAACTAAATGCATTTCTAATTACTATTATCAAATATTTATATCATAAGTACATCCCAACTAGGTTGGCACCTCTCCCATTTTTTCAAATTTTCAAATTTTTTTTTTCAAGGGCCAACGGGTTAACCGCGGCCCGAGGTGCAACCCGCGAAGCCCGCGGGTCACACCTCCTTAACCCGTGAACCGCCCGCTCAGGTCATGGGTCGGCCCGCGGACCCGAGCCGATTTTCACGGGTCTGGCCGGTCCGTCCGTCTTGACACTTCTAAGTGAACATTAAAAACTGTGCAAAAAATGATCCTTCGATTCTTTTCTGGATCTTTCTTTTTTATTATTTCTTGATTCAGTGCTCATATTTTTGTTCTTCTTTGCAGCTTGCATCTTCTCTTGGTCCACGCTTCTATCTCAATATATTCAAATGCAAGCAAATATCAGAAACAGGAGCACAACAAGTATTGATCATCAGCTATTGTCATTTTGTTATATGTTTTGCAATAGTGATCCTTTAGGGCCATTTAACTCTATTTGAATGTGAATCCCACATTATGGAATTTGCAGATGTTATTGGATACACAGGCTGTAAAAACTATTCTTCTGGATATTCCTTCCCTTGGGAAACAGGTAAGTGAGAATTTTTAGTTCTTGCAAACTGCATTTCATAATTTACATGTACCGGGCTTATCCCTGTCATCTTCTAAGAAATGTTCTGATTTTGGGTTGAAAACATACACTACAATTGATTCTGTGAAGTAGTTGGAGGTGCTAAGTAACTATATCTACAATCATGTTCCAATTGCAACTTAGATTTGTCATCCCCCGTATCTATAATAATGGGATGAAAAAATGTCCCAATTATCAGTCAATGGTTACCCCATCTAGAAATGACCCAACGTAATCTAATTTCACCAAACATAATGGTGACTTTTCAGTTAATTTTCATGATTTGTGCTAACATGGTTTAAATTCTTCTGGTTTATCACAGTTTAATTTTCGCTCGACATGAAGTTTTTATTTGCAATTAAAAAGACTTTATTAGATATTATATAAGTCTCCACACTCAAACGTGCTACAGTGAATACCAACCATTGCATGATTAATAAATTAAATTTTAGGATGAATATTATCTGACCAAAATTGTAGTGTTTTAATAATGGAGCCCTTGTAGTTATATGAGGCGGATCCTGTATAACTACTATATATTTTCCTCTGAACAGACATCCGGAGCTTCCAGCTACTCGAAATTTGTAAATCGTGAGATGAGCAAAGCGGAAGCACTACTGAAGGTGTGATTAAAGTAGCATTTGTTTTTTTTTTTTTAACTTAAAAAGTCATCTTTTAGATATAATTTACGAGTCCCATGTACCATTCCTGTTTGTCGCACAGGTAATATTGTCCCCAGTTGACTCCGTGGCAGACACATATTGCGCCCTGTTACCTGAGGGAACACTTGCAGAGTTTCAGCGGATTCTGGATCTGAAGGTTCTTCAAGACTATCACTATCTAGTTATTTTTTGTTTTGACTCAGCTGGAATTTCAAATACTTGTTATTTTTCGTAAAAGGTCATAATAAATAATTAGGTCTGTCATTTGACTGGATTATTATGCCATTTTTTCTTTTGGGGATTAGACTTTGTCTGGGTCATTGATCCCGCCATAAGGGAGTATGGCTATTCTCTTTGTTAATAGTTTACTTACAAGTAAGCTTCTTGCTTGCAAACCATGCTCATAGTGTCAGTGCGTGTGGTTAATGACCTGCCAGTGCCTATCTTTGGCAATTCAGATGGCCATTTAATTGCAATGACTAATATCCGAATCTAAAAAACAACTTATGTTTTCAGCTTTTAAGATTTTCTTTATGTTTACTTAAAATTCTATCCTCGCACTCTTTGGCAGGGCCTCAAGAGGACTGACCAGCAAAGCATACTCGATGATTATAACAAACGTGGAGCTAGAAGCACTCAACCATCTATCAATTCAGTCGTGCCTGCTGTCTCCAGCACGTCCATCGCACCAGTCCTGAGTAGTCCTGCCGCTCCTGGAATCATCTCATCAGGAGAGGAAGTGCTAGCAAGAGCAGCTGCACTTGGAAGAGGTTTTTCTGCAACTGGATTCAAGAAATTTCTAGCTTTAACTGAAGCTGCTAAGGATCGAAAAGACGGTACACTCAGGAAGTTCTTTGTTGGATGAAAATGTTTAGGTTAGTGAATGATATGAATGAAAGGTTCTTCATTTTCTTAATCAGGAACCAATTTTTTGACTTCTACTCGACTTTTATCCCCCTCCGGGGCACAAGACATGGTATAGTTATGTTGATTCCTTTTAGAACTTTCTGATTTATAGGATCTTATTTAGCTGAGTATTTTGTACAAGGTGAGGATTCTAAAGATTCTTTAGAATAGTAAATATATAAAATCATTGTTTCTTTGTAATTTAGTTGTGATCTTTCCGTAAAAGTAGCCATAAAATGACAGAACAGAAAAAATTTGTGGAGCTCGACACCAAATTTATTGGGAATTTGTCTTTGTTTGTCGTGGAATGATACGAGATAGAATTTTTGTATTAAAGGCCATTACTTTTCAATGATATTGACTTTGCTTATAGATGGGAATTTGTGAATTTCAATTAGAAATTTTCTTTTGCCACCTTTTTGTTCAAGGGGTTGAAGGGAAGATTATACATCAATTTTTGCTATCTCACAGAATTAACAAGAAGAATCTAATTATTTTTACGAACTTGTGTAAAGCTGTTTCTTTATAAGTATCAAAAAGATTGTTCCAAAATAACCAGTCGTGGAAGAGAAAGAGGCAACGAATCTGCTTGTCATATCATTTTTGCTTACTAGACTCGTTATTGTAGTATTACAAACTATGAAAAATGCTACTAGTACAGAGAATAACACACAGATTTTTAACAGGAATTTGAACGATAGCATCATGTCCGTTTGTGTGTTATTGTCCCTCTTCCCATTTTGAATATATTCCATCCATTTCAAATTCTTGTACCCATTCGGTATAATTTTCTTGTACTATGGCAAGATTCCACAAACTATAATTTCAATTTTATAAAATGTAGTTGTATATATCAATTGAAAATGTATATGGGTAAACGAAGTGATGAGCAATTTATTACATGACATGTTTTCATAAATTTATCTAATATTTAAGTTCTTTACAAGTTTGGTCATTGGCCCAAATTTCAACTGTGACAATCAATAGAAGTTTCTTATGAAGTCATAATTTTCCATTAATTCTAAACTTGCTCAAAGATTTAATTATTTAAAATAGTTTGCTTTAAGTCTTATTGCATTAAATATAAGAAATTAGAGTAGTGCTATTTAGCATTAACAGTATTTTATACCACTTTAGGTTATAATGATCAATTATCATATGTAATAATTAAAACAGGTGTTAACATCACACGTGATGCTCGATAACATTATTTAACTAAATTATGGTATTGACAATAATAACATTATCCTATTTCATGAAGTTTTTATTAATTTTCATATTGGCTAAAAGATNAGAAAGAAAGAAAAAAGAAAGAAAGAAAGAAAGGAAAACCCTCTACTCTAGTTCTAGGTTTGGGTTAGTAGCAAGTAATTAATGTTGGTTTTTATGGATTGTTTGACAAGCTTTTGAATAAAATATTAATAGATTTTGATTAAAGTTAATGTAATGTGCCGTTGAACAGATGATAAAAGTTGTTGATTTCTTGAAACGTATAATTTGACAAATTGAAATTTTGATATAATTTGAACAAAGTTTTATAAAACAAGTGCTTAATTTGAAATTGTCATAGGTAGGGGCCATAACAATGCATCAAGTGGAAAAAGGTTATTGTCTACACCTAGATGGGGATGAGGGCCTAAACCTAGCCCTCAAAATTCAAACCAAGCTTATTCATCATGGCATTTCCACTTGGTTGGGGTATAAATGGAATGATCTAGTGGACCTATATAATTGGAGGTACTCCATAGCATTCACTATCCCCAAAGTCAAAGGTGTAAGATGCTTTCTTTTGTCATTTAAGAGTAGGTTTGGTATTTTAGAGTGCAATTAATTTATATAATATTTATTTATTGTCTAACGGTATTTTTCAACTTGACATTCCGAATATACTATACAAATAACTGAATCTTTAGTTCAAGAGGTTCTCGACATAGGTTTTGAGGGGTGAAAGAAATTGATGAGCCAAGTTATCAGATAATCGGACGTTGAGTGTCATTATTTGTTCGTATAAGATCTTCGCTCAAACTCAATAGTTCTTTGTTCAAACTATATCAATTTCAAAGCTGGAGACAAAAGAGTGCAACAAACTTACAAGGTAGACAGAATATTAAGGAAAAATTTATCTTTAAAAACACTTTCATGGCTGACAAGAATTCTTCCGCCACATATGATTTTTAGAATATATATATTGATGGTGAAAGCTTGAGAAATCTTAAACACAAAACCTAATTGCAATACAACATTATTCATTCTATCATTTGCCAAAAAGCAATGATAAAAAAAGTGATTTTCACAATTATAATTAAACATGGGAGCTGCTTCTGAATGAACCAAGGGCTTTAACTGCTCCTGCTCTCAAAATAAACTGGTGATAGAAGGCTGCAATAGCTGCACCAATGAAGGGTCCAAGCCAGAAGATCCACTGAAGGACACGAAAGCAAATAGATAAATTATTACTTGTGATTTTGAATGGAGGTAAATAATATTTTTAGAGCTTTTGAAATATAATTTTTTATTTATTTTCTTTTTATAGTCAGTCTCAAGTTCGAATAAAGGAAGAGATTTGTAATAGGTTGACACTGAGTATAAAATTTGCTCACTTCCTTGGTAACATCAGTTCAACTATACCTTTTGATCAGGCATTTCCAGTAAATGGAAAATAACTCGTGTTTTTTTCATAGCTAGTATCATATTTGGATAAAAAAACACGAGGGTCGGTACATTTACAATGAACTTGAAATTTATCAGGGCTCTTCGTGTAGAATTAGCAATAAATTAAGTGAATGATTCATTTAATCAACTCTAATTTATAATACTTTGGGAAAAATGCTAACCTGGTCATCCCAAGCCTTTTCCTGGTTGTAGATCACTGCAGCCCCTAAACTCCTAGCAGGGTTGATACCAGTACCAGTGATGGGGATGGTGGCCAAGTGAACCATGAAAACTGCAAATCCAATTGGAAGAGGTGCCAATACCTAAGATTCAAGTCCACGTACAAACATTGTCAATATTAAATATTACCTTAATATTGTCAGTAAAGCTAAATAAGTAAGTTACTTCTTACTTGAACCCCAAAAAAATTATTTAATACTTATTCACTTATAAGTAATTTTTTTTTATGCTTAACCAAACTTGCACTTCTCAAAAGAAAAAAAAGTAAAAAAATAAATAGGGAATTGTATACGTGAACTTACAGGAACATGGGAATCCCTGGCACTTCTTTTGGGATCAGTGGCAGAGAAAACTGTGTAAACAAGGACGAATGTTCCGATTATCTCCGCAGATAATCCGACGCCGGTGCTGTAGCCGTCGGCGAGTCCATTGGCGCCACCACCATATTTCTTGTAATATGATTTCTGGAAAACCTTCACCAGCCCGACACCGCAAATTGCCCCCAAACACTGAGCCACCATGTACATAATGGCTCTAATCAGTGACACCTTTCGGGCCAAGAAAAGCCCGAATGTCACTGCTGGGTTAATATGTCCTCCTGAGATGCACATGACATGACATGACAAATGCCATTAAAATCAAACCATACATGTAACTATGCTGTATCTGTGTGTATAAACAAAACTCACCTGAAATTCCAGCGGTGCAGTAGACAAGAACGAAGATCATTCCACCAAAGGCCCATGCAATACCAAGAATTCCAACGCCACCGCACTGATCACCGCCGTGGCCGGCGGTGGTATCAATCTGGCTCTTGTACCCAATCACAGTCAAAACCGTAATGTAAAGGAAGAGCAAGGTGGCTATAAACTCAGCTATAACAGCTCTGTAAAATGACCACTTTGTAAGCTCCGTCGCGTCAATCAGCCGAGCTGGTGGTGGATCGTGGTAGTCCTTTGCCGTGAATGATCCATGCTCCGCTACTCCAACGCCCTTTGCCATACTTTAGAAACCACAAAGAGAAATATGTATATATTTTTTGTTTTTTGTATATGAGAGGCCAGTGAGCTTGTAATTGTCTCTGATTGGTGAGGATATATATACACATAAACACATATTTATATATAGACTATAGTGAGGGGGGNGGTGATTTTGACACGAGAAATGCTATTCATCCTCATTGGGGATGCATCATCAGTCTATGTGGCGTTAATGTGACATTAAATGATAGGTGAAATTAAATAAGTCATTTAATTTTACCTATCATTTACATCCACATAGATTGGGGATGCATCCCCACTGGGAATGAATAGCATTTTTCAAATAATTATGAATCCTTATACAATCATAGTATTTTTCTTTTTGTTTATCGAAAAATTAAATCACTACAAAAAAAAAAAAAGGTGACATTAATGATGGAAAAATCTATTTTTTGGTGAACACTTTAACCAACGGAAACATAGTTGTTTAAAAAATTGGATTGGTGGCAAAGTTGGTAGACACAAATTCAAACATCTTTGAATTATGCAATTTGATGAGCTGTTTGAATACTATTTTAACGTTAAGAAGAGAAAAAAAAACATTATTAAACAAATTAAAGAGTAAAAAGTATTAATTTACTTATTTCAGGTCCAAGTAGAGATCATAAAAACATAATTTTGAAATTGAATTAAAATTCGGTTCGGCTAAAAAGTAGATTTTTAGTAAATTTTGATAAAAAATTATTAGATTGTAGTTGAAAAATTGATAAAATTTGTGCGTTCTATAAAATGTGTGGTTGAAAATGAGTTTGCGGAATAAAGAGTTTTAAATAATTGAAACCAAACATAGCTATAGTATAGAACTGAGAATATTTAAAACAAAATGTTTTGAATCTTTTTACTTTTAACGGGAATTTGATCTGGTTCTGCTTATCCAAGCGGTGCTGATAAAATGTCTACCCCGATTACTCGCAAAAGGAAAAAAAAAACATCAACGACACGATTAGTATGGTTGATTCAATAAGATGATGCGTACAAATATATAACATATCTATCTTCTTTAATCACGTTCATTCCTCCTCCGACCCTATACTCGGAATATTTCATAATTAGTGCAACAATTAAACAAGACCAAAAAAATCAATTTGGACCAAGTATGATTATACAACTCATTTATTAAATTGTAGCACCCACTTTTTATTCTATATGTTCTAATCATTTTTCTTGTGTCCATTCATCACGGGGTAGGAATAATGAGATTTTGCATTGGCCCAACTTTTTATTTAATTTGAAAATAATGAGATTTTGCATTGGCCCAACTTTTTATTTAATTTGAAAATTTCAAATTTCTTGTATCCAAAATTATATTAATTAAATATCATTCGCGACTCAGAATTTTATTTTATTATCGACATAATTGGAACATTTTGCCGCAGAAAGATGCTAATCATCGAGAGAAGACACGTGGACAACTATGAGCCATTCATTAGTAAGCACATGGTTACTTTGGATAACCTCAAGAAATATTGCCTTTTAGCGACCTGGCTTTAATTTTAAACAAGATTATCTCAAATTATGAGTCTCTTCTTTAATAATATTTCTCTCTACCAAAAATTGTTCGAGGGCCTTTGTTCGATGTGAGATTCTATAATTTGATGGTTAACTCTGTTCTCCTCTCCATTCTCCGGTAATTAGGATATAGTTGTATTTATCTTTTTTCGTTCAATTCAGAGGTATTCTAAAGGTTGTGCAACTTTTAGAGCTGGTTGACAGCCATGCAGTGAGTCCCTCTTGCTCTTTTCCTTGATATACATCGTTTAGTTCTCAGTCTCTTCTCACGAAAAACATAGACAATTACTGCAATATTGTTTGTTGTGCTTTTTGATCATGCCCAACTTTTCCGGACCATTCTCTCCTTCGAACAATTCGACAATTTTGTATCTAATGATACAAAGTTATTATCTTTACAAAATATCGAGAATTTACTCATAACTATTCGATCGCCTATAGCGTGGTCGGCTCTCACAAGCTAATTTTAAATTAAAATATTAAAAATTTCACTAAAAAACAATCTAAACTCAATTAGGTGTCTAGGAAATAAAGTTTCTAAAGGCTTCAATGAGAATTAAAATAGAATCTATTAATCTTGGATCTAACATTTGATATATAAGCTGCTTTACATCAAAAGGCACCAAATAGTGTCTAATAAAGTTGGGACATTTTATTTGCTCTTCTTGATTCAAGAGCAAAATGGATTTGTGTAATTAGCACACTTTCGCCTATTATGATTTAGGGTAAGTCGAGGGTTTCCAATAAAGCACAATTGGAAACTAGCTAGGTACAAGAGAATTTTTGTTTTCATGTGGAAGAAAAGAATAAGAGCATGTTTGGGTCGGATTAAAATGTGATTTTAATTTAAGTCAAAGTTAAACAATCAATATTTAACCAACATGGGTCCCACCAGGGACGGATTTAGGTGGGGCTGTAGCCCCCCCTCCCCCCAAAAAAAAAATTTTTTACTTAGGAAAAAAAAAATTCATTTGTAATTTTTTTTTATGTATTAGCCCCCCTGTAGTCCAGTCCTGGATCCGTCCTTGGGTCCCACATTTTTTCAACCACACATTTCAAAACTTTCTATCACAATCCACTAAAAATCTAATTTTAATCCACTAGCCCGGTTGGGAAATAGGATTTATAACTATTAATTTTCTTATTGTAATTAATTATGAATTTATGAAATATGTACTATGCATCAAATTTTGAGATGTTAAAAAGTGTTTTTATATGCGTTAAAGTTTAATATGAGGAGCAACGATAAATTTCGTGGGTAAAACATAGCAAAATTACAAGAATTGATGAGTCGATCAATCCGGTTGTATACATTGGTGGAGGAGGTGAGATCTTATCGCTTATAACTAGTAAGTAGAGCATAAAAAAGGCCAAAATATCCCTTTACCACGCAATTAACAACAACGCATGATGCTCGTAATTTGCTGACTATCACGTCGTTTATTTTTGTCGATGAAATTGCACGGGATTACCTTATTTAATATCAAATGAAAGTGAAATAACTTACTTTAATTAATTTGTAGTACAATTACTTGTCACTAGATTTAAAGTATAGTTACCGTGAATAGAATTTACTCTATACTATATCACACTCGAGCAAATGCTTCTCATATCAAAACTATTTTCGACGTAATAGTGCATCAAACAAACAAATTAGCTAGACAGAATATTAACAAAATGTTGCTCTTAAAAATGATTTAGATCACACAATCAAGAATATCTACAAGAATTCTTCCATTACATATGAATTTGAAGAATAAATTTGATGGGGAAAGCTTGAATATAAATTGCATTTACAGCATTATTCATTCAAATAAAATAAGAAGTTTCTCATCAAACATGGGAGCTGCTTCTATATGAACCAAAGGCTTTAGCTCTCAAAATATACTCATGATACAAGGCTGCAATGGCTGCACCAATGAAGGGTCCTACCCAGAATATCCACTGGAACAAAAGTAAACAAATAAATTATTACTTGTGGGCTAAATAATGTTTAGAATTATATATATTTTATAACTATTAGGAATATTACTCATATTGTATCTCTTTTTTTCATAGTCAATCTCAAGTTGGTATTTAAAGGACCATAAAGATTGAGCTAGGTTGACAATAAATGTAGAACTTTCTCATATTTTATAATGTCTCCATTTCATAAAGATAGACTTGGTTTCCTTTTTCGTATGTCTTAAATTATAGATCACTTTCTTTATTGAAAGTACAGATATTTTAAAATTTTTTAATATACTTCTATTTAATGTACCTCTTATTATTAACAAATATAAATTAATCATATTTAAACCATTATTTAATATAGGGACATAGTAGAAAAATTTATATTTTTCAACCTTATTAATTACATTTTCTTAATCTGAAATAAAATAGGAGTAATTGAAATAAAATTTCTCCGTGACGTGAATCTTACTAATCATTTTTTTTTTTTCATTTGGAGTCTCCAATAGAATTAACAATAAATTGAATAGAGTAGTGAAAAAATATTCGAGTAGTAGATCCAAATTAACCTGATCGTCCCAAGCCTTTTCCTGATTGTAGATCACTGCAGGTCCAAGGCTCCTAGCTGGATTGATACTAGTACCAGTGATTGGGATGGTGGCCAAGTGAACCATAAAAACTGCAAATCCAATTGAGAGAGGTGCCAAAACCTATGATGCAAGTTCAAATACAAACAATATATATCAATATTCGCTTGTCAAGTCGAGATAAAATGTGACAAGTTCGATTTAAACTCGAGCAAGACGAATCTTATGGGAAAAAAATTCGAACCCAGAAAAATTGAAACTCCATATTGATGTAATAATGATGCATGGACAACAAGGTTTTACAGTACAACATGCATGGTATCATTATTGAACCACCAAGTTTTTGCAGTTCCACATGTATGGTATCATATATAATGCATGGGATTCACTTACCAAGTGTTTAATTGAAAAACATTCTCTAAATGTACTTATTACTTATAAGTAGATTTTCAAAAATAGAGAATTGTATATATGCACTTACAGGGACATGGGAATCCCTGGCATTTCTCTTGGGATCAGTGGCAGAGAAAACTGTGTAGACAAGTACGAATGTTCCAATGATCTCTGCAGCCAATCCAGCGCCGGCGCTGTAGCCATCGGCGAGCTCATTTGCGCCGCCGCCATATTTCTTGTAGTTTGACTTATGTAACGCCTTCACCAGCGCGACGCCACAAATGGCCCCCAAACACTGAGCCACCATAAACATAACGGCTGTGATCATTGACACCTTGCGGGCCAAGAAAAGCCCGAATGTCACTGCTGGATTAATTTGTCCCCCTGAGAGTTGCATGATATGACAAATGCCATTAAAATCAAACCATACATGTATCGTATGCATGTATTTATGTGTATAAACAGAACTCACCGGAAATTCCAGCAGTGCAGTAGACAAGAACGAAGATCATACCGCCAAAGGCCAATGCAATACCAAGAATTCCAACGCCACCGCACTGATTACCGCCATGGCCGGCGGTTGTATTGGTCTGGCTCTTGTACCCATAGTGTCAGTTTTGGCATTACATTTGGAAGAGCAAGGTGGCTATAAACTCAGCTATAACAGCTCTATAAAATGACCACTTTGTAAGCTCCGTCGAGCCAATCAGCGGCTTCGGTGGTGGATCGCTGTAGTCCTTCACCATTCCAACATGGTTTTCCATAACAAACTACAGAAAAAAATTTGTATATATTTGTTTCTTGTATATGAGATGATAGGGAGCATGTAATCGTGTTGAGTGGCGAGGGATATGGACCTATATATAAGTCTATGTAGTGTAGTGGTGGGGTGGGGTTTTGGGCGTTTGGAGTGCGAATTAGCCCGTCCATGCCATCAAGTAAAGAATCCTTTTGTTATTACTATTTTCGGATTATAAGTAAAGAATCCCTTTTTAAATATTATCTTCGAATCATGAGTAAAGAATCGTTTTAGAGCATGCACGTTTCACGTTTATGATTCTTTTTTTAAGTGGATTGATGTCATTGATGTGTTAAAATATACGTAAAAGTCCTATTAAAATTACATTAAAAGAGAGAATATTTGAGCGATTATAAATATTCTCGTACTTTTAACACTCTATTTTCTACAAATTCATTTTCAATCCTACGTTCGCACAATAAAATATATTTTTTGAATGAATGGCCACCAAACAGAGGCTTAGTAATATTATTTAGGGTTTGTTTGAGTCGGATTAAAATCTAATTTTAATTTAAGTCAAAATCAAAAAATCAATATTAACCACATATTTCATGAATGCCACATCTTTTCAACCATACATTTCAAAAACTTCTATCATAATCCACTAAAAATCTAATTTTAATCCCACCAAACACCCTCTAAACCTCTCTTTTGGACAAATTTACGTGACGTCACTATCACATCTAAATTTTTTATGCATTAGAATTTAGAGAATGTAACAATGACCTAGCTGCACCACAAGACTTGCTAACCACCATTGGGCAAAATTGTATTATTCATAAATTTTTGGATATTATAGAATGTACACGTTGAGTTTCTTTGGTACAACTTATTTGAAAATTATTTTTCTTCAAACTCATTTTCAACGACATATTTCCCCAATAAAATAATTTTGTATCTAATATAACACCACATGTTACACACCAGATTAAGTTGCACTGAGTGATATTAATTAAGAGGCACATTTAATTGAATTACATAATTTCACATTTAATTAAGTCAATGACATAACGTCTCCTAAATTGGTGCTCTAGCACCTATGTTGCTAGATAACATTATGATTTTGCACCTAGCTCCATAAACTTTTCCTACTTTTTGTTGGAAAAACTAGATAAACTAAGTTAAATGACTTACTTTGACACTAATTTTGAGTGGGACCCGCTTGACTATTTTGAAAAATGAAAGTTGATTTGTGTTCTCCTCCGTGAGTACATCGAAATCACATACTTACTTGTCAAAAATGATGTTCAGGTGAATGAGAAATTGAAACTCAAAGTATGCCATGTAAAATGAGTTTGTTGGTGAGAAAATAGATATTTAAACTTTGTCCTACAAAGGAAGTGGATGAAAGTTAAAACCGCTTTATAAAGGATTGCACTTTAAAATGGTGTAATCATGTGTAGCATAGACTCTCTCCACGTGCGCGAGCAGGGGGGTGCAAATCTTGGACCGAAATTGGCGTCGGACCTTGAACTTGTGTGCGAGCGCGACCTGCGTACACGAATGTCGGACCGAAAGGAGCAAAATTGGCCCCTTAGTAGTGTCCACGTTTTGCTA